AAAGGGCATAGAGGGGAGCAGAAAAGAGGGAAGCAGCAAAGACAGTATGAGAAGGAGGAAGAGGGGAAGACCAGATGAGCAGGGGTAGGAGGAGGCAAGAATGGAACTATGGAATCGGGATAAGGGAAGAAGAAAATGAGAGGAGGGGAGGGGAGGGGGGTAAGAAGATAGAAATGGGGAGGAGCATTTCACTCCCAATGGGGCACGGCCAGACATCTAGAAATGGGGACAAACCAAAGCAGCCTGTTGCCTCCAGCACGAATCTCTTTGCTGCTGCAGCAAAACCTGGTCTGTCGGGTTTCTGATGTTAGAGCCGGTCAGGAATCTTCCATCGATGGGAAGAACGTTAGAGAATGTTGATTGTGCCAAAATGTCCTGATTTTCCATTTGGAAAATCAAATTAAAACGTTTCCCGCTGGCTCCGCATTAATCTGTGTCCGCCCGAGCCACCGCGGTGCCCCAAGGGATCTGTAGTTCCAGGTCATCAAAGCCCACTTCCCCCTATGGATTAGGCTCCTGGCCCGATTACATCTCCCATGATGCACCAAGATGTCCGTTCTGACTGAGCTGCCACATTGCATCATGGGAGTACCACGAACACCATGCATTATGGGAGATGTAGTGGCCATGGAGCCCGGCCCATAGGATGAATGGGCGTGAGGTACCCAAACGACACCTCCCGCGAGGCAATGAAGCAGCGCAGGCAGGCACAGGCTAACGCGGGGCTGCCCTGAATCAAAGTATTTCAAAGTTTCCCAATCAATAGTTTTCAGAACTTCTCATTCTGGAATGAGTTTTGGTATTTCAACTTTTCAACCTGAGTCGGACAAACATGGGACAATCCTGCACTGTCGGGGGAATGGGCTAGATCGGCTAATGGGTCTTTTCCATCTCGAGATTCTGTGGGCCCAGTTCTCTGCCGGGTGAACCACCACTGATGTCAATGGAGCTGCACCCATCTGCCCCCAGCAGAATTTTCAGCCTGAGAACTAGGCTATGAACTAGTTGCCCTGATGTCCACGTTACCTGTTTAACTTTAGCCACATCCCGGATAAACACCTCGTCATCGACAAAATCCAGTAACTTCTTCAGCTGGCTCAGATCCGTTACAAAATCTTCTCCGATTTTCTAAGGAAATAAAACCGGAAATGAATGTCCTTTGCTGGATGTCTCACGTGCTGCATAATGTCACTTCCCTGCTAGAAATGCCTCAGTCCTGACTGGGAAAGAAAAAAAAAGCCGGGCTTGGCAAAAATAGGGCACCAATTATCGTGGTTGGGTTATTACTATGCATTGTTTTAGAGTTTAAATGTATTGGGAATAAATGATTGGTACAAAAACATTTTAGTCTATCACACAATTCCACAGCACTCCCATACAGCTAAGCAAAGAAAGGCTGTATGTGCCAGGAATTACTTCCAGATGGGCAGAGTATTTGCAGTGTATTATCAGCCACTAGATGTCTTAGTATGCTGTCTGGAGTTCCTGGCAAGGCGTGGTCCTGGTAAACAAAGGCGACAAAGCTGGAACTCAAGCTGTGTCGGAGCCGGTTTGTGTGAGTAGCTGTAGATATTTCCTTTAGTGCACGCCCCATTTAAGAGAGACTGTCGTTCCATATATCATGACACCAAGGGAGGTGATGCTGTTCTGACAATCTATCCCAGCGGTTCTCAAACTTTTGTACTGGTGACCCCTTCACATAGCAAGCCTCTGAGTGCGACCCCCCCCTTATAAATTAAAAACACTTGTTTATATATTTAACACCATTATAAACCTCCAGTTTGAGAACCGCTGATCTCTCCTCAGCCCATGGAAAGGTGGAGCCAACGGTCAGCAGTTCTTTGAGTAACTCCTGATGGCTGATTTTAAAGCTCTGCCCTCATTGCATGTGTGTGTCAGATGTTCAAGAAGTGAGACAGCTGCCCCTCTAGCCTTGCCTGGAGCTACGCGGACTGACACCTGCTGAAGATCTGGCCCCATTTGTTTACACTGCTCTGAAGACTGTTTTGTGAACAAACACTAGGGGTGAAGTAGATCCCGTGGGAGTGGCTCACCTCAGCAATGACACCTGCGAGCCCTGGGTTGCACAGCAGGAGCCAGCGCCGCGGAGTGATGCCGTTCGTCTTGTTCTGGAATTTCTCTGGTTCCATCTCGTAGAAATCTTTGAATCTGAAACGCACGGGCAGTAGGGGAGACACTGAGCAGGTCCATTCCCAGAGTTTTATAAAACTGTAACCTCAGATGCTCCTGACTCTATTTACAACTCCAGCTGAAGTCTTTCTGTTGACATCAATTGGAACTGCACTAGGCCCTAAATGCATCTGATAATTACCTGTGACCCTAGCTGCTGAAACTGCGATTCCAAACCTAGGCGATGAATCTACCCAAAGTCTGCTTCTCTCTCTTGCACAAGGCCCTGATCTACAGTCCCCTCCATGCCCCCTTCCTTTTTAGGAGCAAGTATGGGGAAGGGTTTGCAAGGGTGGACTTAGATTTTCAAAAAGCCTTTGACAAGGTCCCTCACCAAAGGCTCTTAAGAAAAGTAAGCTGTCATGGGACAAGAGGGAAGGTTCTCCCATGGATTGGTAACTGGTTAAAAGATAGGAAACAAAGGGCAGGAATAAATGGTCAGTTTTCAGAATGGAGAGAGGTAAATAGTGGTGTCCCTCAGGGGTCTGTACTGGGACCAGTCCTATTCAACATATTCATAAATGATCTGGAAAAATGGGTAAACAGTGAGGTGGCAAAATTTGCAGATGATACAAAACTACTTAAGATAGTTAAGTCCAAAGCAGACTGCGAAGAGCTACAAAAGGACTTCTCAAAACTGGGTGATGGCAACAAAATGTCAGATGAAATTCAATGTTGATAAATGCAAAGTGATGCACATTGGAAACCATAATCCCAACTATACATACAAAATGATGGGGTCTAAATTAGCTGTTCCCACTCAAGAAAGATCTTGGAGAGATCTCTGAAAATATCCACTCAATGAGTGCAGCGGCAGTCAAAAAAGTCAACAGAATGTTGGGAATCATTAAGAAAAAGGATCGATGATAAGACAGAAAATATCATGTTGCCTCTCTATAAATCTATGGGACGCCCACACCTTGAATACTGCGTGCAGATGTGGTCGTCCCATCTTAAAAAAGAGATATTGGAATTGGAAAAGGTACAGAAGGGGCATAGAATAGCTTCTGTACAAGGAGAGATTAAAAAGACTGACTTTTCAGCTTGGAAAAGAGACGACTAAGGGGGATATGACAGAGGTCTATAAAATCATGACTGGTATGGAGAAAGTAAATAAGGAAGTGTTATTTACTCCTCATAACACAAGAGCTAGGGATCACCAAATGAAATTAATAGGCAGCAGGTTTAAAACAAACAAAAGAAAGTATTTTTTCACACAACACACAATCAACCTTCGGTCTGACCCAGTATGGCCGTTCTTATGTAACCAAAAGCTTTGTATGGCCTGCAGTCTCTCTACTGCTGGTGCAAGGAGGAAAGAACCCAGCTTGACTCTCAGCTTCCAGGCTAAGTTTACAGGGCTGGGCAGTGAGGAAAAACAGCCTTTCCCTGGCAAAGCCAGCTCTGAACGGGAGGCCGCTCTGCGGGTGAGTCACTCACACGGAATTCTTCACGATTTCGGAGTGAATCCTGGCCACCCCATTGACGGCGTGGGAGCCGATCACGCAGAGGTGGGCCATGTTAATCCTCTTGCAGTCCCCTTCCTCGATCACGGACATCCTGCGCAGACGGTCTAGGTCTCCAGGGGTAGAGGGCGGCCACGTGCTGCCGGGACACACACACACACACACACACACACACAAACGTCAGTGGCGCAGCCTTAAAATGCAGACAAGGGGCTAGACGGTCACTGGGGCTGCCCCCAGCCTGGGGGAGTCAAAGCCCTCCTGACATTGCTGGGGGGGGTTACTCGGGGTACACCCCCCGAGCAGGGGGTGCAGCTGCTGTTCTGCCACTCCCCCAGTGCCAGTGAGGAGCAAAGGGGGGGTGACTAGAGCAATGGGGGGCAGGGAGGTACTGTGCCTTGGAGCAGAAGCAGGGTCATAGCGCCCCCTAGGGCTGCTCCTGGGTGGGTGCACCCCACATGTTTACATTTTTAGGGGGTATTTTCAAAGGCAGACGGGGCACCAAGAACCCAGGGGGGCCTTTACCAGCCACTCCTCCCTGAAGGTGACAGGGACCAGCCGGGCAGCGCTGGAGGCTAAATACCGCTATTTATCCACTGAGAACCCAGCACAGCGTCCCGAACCACACAGTACGGGGCAGCCACGGGGAGAGACGGCAGAGCCACTGCCTGGCAGGGAGCAGCGGCTCAGAGCGACAGTGATTCTGAGCTGCAAAGACTCGTCCGTGGGACGCACGCCGAGAGCAGCAGTTCCACGCCCCACAGGCCAGGCCTGGGCTGGGGGACCTGGACGAGACGAGGTCCCTGTCAGCCGGGGCCAGCTCCCGGTCCGAGCCCGAGCCCCTCACATCCAGATGTCTTTGGTTGATGGTATAAATGATCTCCAGGTGGCGCGGCAGCAGCTTCTCGAACATGGTGACTGGCCAGCGCTCCAGGGCCTCGGGCAGCACGGTGTGGTTGGTGTAGGCGCAGGTCCGCTTGGTGACCTCCCAGGCCTGGGGAGGGACAAACAGGCTCACATCAAACAACTGAGACGCTTGAGTCTGACTCCATTGGGATCATTACTGGGGTGTCTGGGTGAAATTCAACAACTGGGTCAGACTAGGAGCCCCCGCAGGTGCTGGGCTGGCTGGTCCATGTCCTCAGGGTCTAACTGAATCTTCCCCCAGGTCACCTGGGTCCCTCCTGTTCCCTGCCCAGGGCACAGGATTGTCCAATCTGCTTTGGGCTGCGATAGCCTGCTCGGAGTTCGGTTGTCGGGTGGTGCTACAGGCCGTCTGACTAACTCAATGGTCTGGTTCCTTCTGCCCTTAAACCGTCAACTGTGACAACATCTCAGAGCAGAGGGGTGGCACTTCCCAGAGACAGGGAATTTCTCTCTCTCTCACACACACACAACTGACAGCACCAGATTCTGCCGATATCTCTAACAGCGTTGCACAGTAACGACCTTTCAGCGCTCAGACCGGCTTGGTGGGGCCCACGACAGGTTTTTCCGTCAGAAAATGCCGACTCACGGCCCTGCTAACAGGAAGAGGTCGGCTCTGATGAATCCCCTGGCCCCAAACATTTTTAAGAAACAAAAATTTGGGCGCTGTCGAAAGGTCCCGTTTTATCCGTCTCAAACCCTAGAAAGGCGCGTATTTCAGTTCATGACGGTTTCAATTTTGCAGTTAATTTATACTAAAAAAAAAAAAGTAAAAAACAAGATTTAAAAGGTCAAAATCGAAAGGAAATATTTCTGTTGGCCCAATCGGAATCTGCATTTATTTATTTATTTATTTATTTTTGGTTCACAATAATTTTCGAGATTTTGAGTTTTCATCCTGACCTGGGACAGGAAAACGGTGCTTCAGGTGCATGTGCGCACCCCTCGGGCCTTGACCAGAGGCTGGGCTCAGGCTGGAGCACGCGAGCATCTACACTGCAATCCTATAGCCCTGCTCAGCGGCCACGGGCCAGCCAGGGGCGTTTTACTGCAGTGCAGACATACCCCAAGGCTCTGCCAGAGTCACCCTATAGGCCAGTGGCTCGGCCCTCACCTGGGATGTAAGAGCCCCAGGTTCAAATCTGCGCTCCAATCAATAGCTATATGAATTTACCCATTAGCCCTGGGCCCTCCAGCAGCTCTGCCAGGCCTCTCCAGTCCCTGTGAGAGCAGCCTTCCCTTCTTCTCCGGGAGATCTCTCCCCGTCACCCCTGGCCAAAGCGTGCCGGCAGGGGGCACTTCCTGCCCAACAGGAGGGTAACCAGGACTCCAGTTACAGCAAAGAGCTCGCATGTGTCGCGGGGGGGGGGGAACAGGCCAGAAAGGGGGCCCAGCTGCGGGGGGGGGGGGGGCCAATATGGAG